CTTTTCTATTTTTTCAGTGGTCCTAATCCTCTTCCTTAGAAATGTGACTAGTCAGCCTGCCTATTTTATGTTAAAATGGTGCTTCATCATTCTTTTGAAAGTATCTAAAACTAAATAAGGCATTATTAAAATTGAGATATCTTGATTTCTAATTTAACTAGTCATAAAATAAATACTTGAAATGTGCAATTATATTTGTACTAGCAGAAATATATTTTAGATGTAAAGAATTGTATTTCTAGATATCTGTAATGTTGTAATCATTTTTGATATCCGAAATAGTAATTATGCCTAGGAGTAAATCTATTATGAAGATCTGAAATTAGAATTCCCCCTAGTCAAAATTTAGTTTAGATAGGAAGAATGTTTATTTTAGATATCTGAAATTCTAATTTTGACTAGGAAGAAATGCATTTGTGACATCTGGACTATACATTCAGTCAAGCTAATAAATGTCAAAACGACCTGCCAAAGAAGGAGGAGGAGCCTGAGGTGAACTGAAACCGTCCCGTAAATTCAGTGGTTTTCGAAGGATGCAGACGTCAGTCGACCAGCAGAACACATCGCAGTCAGTCCAGATCAACTTAATAATGAATGTTCTGCCGTGGCTCCTTCTATTGCTGAAAGGTAAAAATATTTATTTTATAAAAAGGACTGAGAAACTAATGCTTAAATGTTAACTCGATTAGAAATGGTTTACAGGAAAAGTCTTACGCACAAAACAAGAGCTTTTGTAAAAACTCTGTGTCAATACCTAAAATAAAGAACAAATTTAAAAGGATAAGAGCTATTTTTGAACAATTATTCTTAAAAGCCATACATTTTCAGATAAAACTTGAAATATTTTTCCCTGTCCCATTCCACATTATTACACTTAACTTGATTTCTGGACATCTGGTTTCATTTTTTTTGTATTTGTGCATGGATTGTTACCAACATCTGGGCAAATTTTCATGTCAATTGCACCTCTAGAAATAATTATTACTGAGAAAAATGGTGGTTCATTCAATACTTATTTTAAAGTAAATTGTTTGCTGAATGAAATACTCCATAAACGATATTAAAATAAACATATTGAGGGATCATTTCTGTGAGCCACACAGAACAGAGAGAAGAGTTGAAGGCAGAATAACCCCTACACTCTAAAAACAAAGGTTTGGAAAACCTAATATACGGTACATACTTTTTGCTAGAAATGCATATAACTCCAAATGTTTTCAGTAAAATTCTCAATTTTTCCACATAAAGTTGGAGAATCTTTTTTTTTTCTCTGCTGGGAGAAACACGTCACCTTGTTAAAAGCCAATATAAATAAAAAGACCAGATTACACAGGGATTTGGGTGGTTTTTAGGAGCTAAATCTGGACATGACACATCTGCTGTTGCAGACCGACATGGTTATAATGCTTTACTTTCCTCAATAAGGCTAGGTAACAGTAGTGCGTCTATTTAGAGCGTTTAAGGAAGCATAACAAATAAAAACTCTATGTCAATAAACTTGTATTCTGATTATTATTGATTGTTAATATACTACGTAATAAGTTCACAGATTCATAATTGCTGGCAAATAGTGGCATGATTCAAAATATTTAACCGAAGAAATCCATTTAAATTGTTCTTTACCTGAACAGATGCTCAGAAAGCATTCAGTGAGCTCTTGACTCCTTTATATTGTTAATCAGATTTTTAGGAGTTTGTATTTCTCCAATTTGGTGTCTTTAAAAGATATAAAGTTGAACAATACAGTTGCTTCTTTTAAAAATTTACCTGGGTAATTAAAATTGTATTCCATAAAATTTTGTTGAATTATTAACCTGGCATAAAGTAGATTAATACTTTGTAGAATTACAATTGAACTACATGAATCGATCTGGAAAGCCTTACGTAGAAATTGTTTCCAAAGGGAGGGACTTTCAGAACAATTCTTCAGGTTGACTGGGTGCCTTCCCTCCATCTCGTGGTTTTAGCCAATCACAGCAGGAGCAGCAGCAGCAGCTTGATTTGTTTCACAACTAGTGGGGTTAAATGATAAATCAAATTCTTCACGTGGTCCGGGGAACACCAAACATCTTCACATCCACAAAGAAAAAAAACTTATATCCTTTTCCTCGTTTTTCAAAAAATAAATAGCTGGTATTCCACGGGAAACCAACGCAGCCATGTTTGTTTTGCTTTGGTTGAAGTATTGACATCAGACACATCACTGCATTTCATTTGTATGAAACATTTCTGTATCGAGGCACACGCATCTGCTGGCTCCTAGCAAGGTGTATTTTCATGCATTTGCTAAATCACAAATGTAGCGACAGTTCATCTTGCTCGCAGGGTAATTGAATTATTACAACCCTTAGAATATATGAAGATATGATTTTAGAATATATGCAGATCACTGAAGACTAAATTTAAACTTTAACTGTGAATTTAGATGACATTTGTTTATGTCCAATATTTACATATAGGCTAGCATATAATTACTAATTTTGTAAGTTTTTATTTAACAATGCCTTAAACATTATGTTGATAAAACACAAAGCTTGTTTTTGACACTGTGGCCCTAAAACATTTGACTCAAACAAGTTCGGATGAGAGGCGGTTGACTTGCCAGGCAACAACTCTTTTTATTAGGACATGCATGAATAAGAACCCGGTAAAAAATAAAAAATAAAAATCTTTCGCAGGGAATGATACCTGTTTATCATCTAAATATGTAGACATACTGAGCGATATGCCAGGGCATGCAAACCATGCTCTGCAGGCAGGTATTGCTCTGGAAGGCAGAGTAGTGCCTGTCTGTTACATTTTTTTGGTGCCTGTAGTGTAGAGCTGTAGGAGAAACCACATCTGATGGAGAGGACTGAAATGACCCTGCACAGATTAGGTTTAAAAGCATTCTGTACATTTTTACTAGCATGCATCTCTAAACAAGAAGTAATGTTATTGTTGCGGGGAGCTCTAATCTGATGGAGATTCTGCAGAAGAGGCTA